GCACGGTCGGCCCTCTACCAAGGACTTTTCATTTCTTTTCGGTTTTTTTGTGAGGAAGATCAGCCCTGAGCTAACATCCATGCCAATCCTCCTCCTTTTTCCCTTTTTCTCCCCAAAGCCCCAGTAGATAGTTGTGTGTCATAGCTGCACATCCTTCTAGTTGCTGTATGTGGGACGCGGCCTCAACATGGCCAGACAAGCGGTGCGTGGGTGCGCGCCCGGGATGCGAACCCGAGCTGCCAGTAGCGGAGCGCGTGCACTTAACTGCTAAGCCACGGGGCCAGCCCCGGACTTTTCATTTCTAATGTGACCACAGGAGAGCATTAACCAGGCATTTATCCAACTAGAGGGAAACTTGCCTCCAGGTGGGCTTATTTGTTTGCTAAAAGTAGCTTTTATGGCAGAGTCCTGCCTGGGAGGAACTGGAAGGATCGCTCAGTGGTCTGGCTCTCCCATCACCTGTCCTTTCTCCTTGAACTTTGCCCCTGACAATCCAGTTCCCACCACCCTAACATGGCACTGCTTTCATCTGTGAAGGAGGGCTGGAACCACCTTAATGCTGAACTTAGAGGTTCTGGGGTGACCTTGTTGAAAAGCCTTCACTGGTCCCTAATGTACATGGTCTCTGACCAGGAAGCTTGGAGCCCAGCTCCACGTGGCTTTACTCAGCAGCCGCTTGGAGTGCCGCCCCCAGGACATGCCAGGCCCCTGGGCCTCGTGTCTGTGAGCACAGAGGGCTTGCTCCTCGCTGCACAAGCAGGGCTCAGGAGGGTGGGCCGTGATCACGAGGAGCCGGGGCTCGTCTCCTTTGTGACAGTCTGACCAGCCTGGGGAGCAGGGGCTACTTTTCACTGAGGCGTGTGACATGAGATGGCTCTGTACAGCTTGGTAAGCATATCATGAGTTCAGCAAGTTGGTTCAGCCTCAAGAGCTGTGTCTAGCAGGGTCCCTCTCGGAGGCTGGATAAGGAAGGCCTCTTATCAGATGAACAGATGACACAAAACTAGGAGAAACACTACATGCTGGGCGGCAGTATGCAGACCCAGGAAGATGTGGACAGGTTGAAACAAGGCAAGAGAAGATGACAGGGCCCGTACAGGTCCTATTTAGGTTTGTTCACTGCGGGTGTGGGAAGTTCACACCTCAATTGAGAGGCCTCAAATTGAGAGTCTTGCCACGGCCTAAACTGCCCCGTTGGCCTGTGGTCGCTGCCAGGGCGGAGCCAGGTTGCTGTCTGGCCTTGATGCAGAGCCGAGCCTTCTGGAAGGCTCCGATTTGTCCTCCGCTGGAAAGAGCCATGTCAGCCCTCCCGAGTCCCACGAGGAGTTGGGCCAGCTCAGCCTCTTGAAGTGGGTCTTTGTGAACAGTGCTGCTTATGTGCATGAGAGAAGCATTTACTGGCAGCAGACATGGAGTCCTGGCCAGTGGGCAGAACGGGCGAGAACGTCTGGGCCTCACGTGACCCTCATGCCCAGTGACTTTAGAGGCACTGCTGTTCTTGAGGCGCTGTCTTTTGCTAACTAATCAAAGGGCTGCTTTTTCAGAGCAGTGGGCGGGGGCTCCTGGGCTGCCGGCCTTCGAAGGGCCTTGGGGGCTCTGGCGGCAGCATGTCCTCCCCTGAGGGCCAGAGGAGTTGGTTCTGTCACCGAGGCGAAGGTGGCCCCATTCACCTTCTGTTCTGCAAGCCAAGGAGGACTACTTTTGAACTGTGTGAAGGGCAGGGGGTTGGGCATTATCTGTCTCGGGTCTGCTGGCTTCCCTCGGAGAATCCTCCTCTGCAGGTGCCCCAGTGAACCCAGAGCAGATCTCATCCTGCCGACCTCGGGCTTCGTCTTCTGTGTTCACGTGACTCAGGGCTGAAATCATTCTTTGTTCCTTGGGGCTGCTTTGCTAACTGAGATCTGTCAGTCCCCTGCACTCGGCTAACCGCCAGGCCCGGTACCTTTGTAGGCTGTCATCTTCTTAGAGGTCAGAGACTCCTTTTCCTCTGTCTTTTTATATTTCACTATTTTATTCTTTCAGAAAAAATAAATTCTTTACTGATTATCTTGTATATGGGTTCTAAGGGAGATAAAAACATGAGGGAGGGGCTGGCCCTGTGGCCTAGTGGTTGGGTTTGGCATGCTCCGCTTCGGCGGCCCAGGTTTGTGGGTTCGGTTCCCAGCTGCAGACCTACACCACTTGTCAGCCATGCTGTGGCGGTGACCCACATCAAAATAGAGGAAGATTGGCACAGGTGTTAGCTCAGGGCGAATCTTCCTCAGCAAGAAACCCCACAAAACCGGAGTGAGATGTGCCCTCCCGAGGTCAGGCCTGCTGCGGAGCCTGAGGCCAGCCTTCCCCTCACGGCACTTCCCCTCAGCGCCTCAGCAGAGAGACACAGTAGGTGCTTCTCAGCCTAACCGTCTCCTCTCTCTCCGCCCCTCGTCGGCAGGGTGAGCGTGTCGGCCACAGACTGTTACATCGTGCACGAGATCTACAATGGGGAGAGCGCCCAGGACCAGTTTGAGTACGAGCTGGAGCAGGCCCTGGAGGCGCAGTACAAGTACATCGTCATCGAGCCCACCCGCATCGGCGACGAGACTGCCCGCTGGATCACCGTGGGCAACTGCCTGCACAAGACCACCGTGCTGGCGGGCACGGCCTGCCTCTTCACGCCGCTGGCCCTGCCGCTCGATTACTCGCACTACATCTCCCTGCCCGCCGGCGTGCTGAGCCTGGCCTGCTGCACGCTCTATGGCATCTCCTGGCAGTTTGACCCCTGCTGCAAGTACCAGGTGGAGTACGACGCCTACAAACTGTCCCGCCTGCCCCTGCACACACTCACCTCCTCCACGCCAGTGGTGCTGGTCCGGAAGGACGACCTGCACAGAAAGAGACTGCACAACACGATAGCCCTCGCCGCCCTGGTGTACTGTGTAAAGAAGATCTATGAGCTCTATGCCGTATGACTGCCGCAGGGCCGGGAGACACAACAACCCAGCCCACGGAGCGCGGAGGCCTCAGCCTGCCGCGGAGCCACATTTGCTCTGAGGCCGCAGACCTGGGGAGGTGTTTGGTTTAATATTGGTTATTTTAAAAAAATAACACAGGTGATAAGTGTACTGATGGTTTTTTCAACTCATCACACTAAGACGTGGGTTTCCGTGACCCCGGGGGCCCGAGGCTGTGGGAGTCTGACGGGGCGGTGGAATGCTGATGGAAGCAACGCTGTGAGGGGTGTGGACGCGCTTGGGGGTCTTTGAGTCTGTTGTTTAATGTACCGTTCAGAGCCAGCCAGCTGTCGACTATTAAAATGATGAGAGTTTGAAGGGCAGGTATCTTCTCTCCACCACGGTCTGCTCTGGGGGGTGGCTTGCACGTGGACAGAGTGGGCACCACGGAAGCTCCCTGCTGCAGCCTGGCGTCACCACTGGCAGCAAGGGCAGGCCTTTGAACAGGTGTTCCCGGGGCTAGACCCCTCCCAGGGTGGTCTCATGCCTCACTGTGGCCCTTTCCAAGGCCAGCAGCACTCATGCTGTTCAGGGTCATGTTAGGGTGGGAAACCTAGGGGTCACCCGGTCTCCATCTGGGTTCACGTGGAGAACTGGGGCCTGGGACCTCTTGTCCAGAAATTCTGATTTAGGAAGACACAGAAACTGACATCCATATTTTTCTTAAAGCACCAAAGCTGCTGCTGACGTGGACCCTGAGTTCAGCCCACTGCCCTAGCTGAGGGGAGAGCCCTCAACACAGCCTCCACAGCACCCCCGCCTGGTGCTCCCCTTCTATAGGCGTGAATCCCTTGCCCCCCTCCCACACCAAAGGGCATACTGTGCATCACCTTCCACATTCCTTCTAAGTCTTTGGATAAACAGAGAACTATTCCTTCCACAGAGGTCGGGCCCCTGCCTTGACCGCGGCCGTCTTAAGCCCTCTGCTCTCAGTCGTCCCTGAGAGCCGCACAGCACTTCCTCCTGAAGGGCCTGTCTTTCAGAGACAGCCGACTGATGCTCACCCAGTTTAAAGGATCCACCAGAAAGAACTGACACCAGAGAGGACTGAAGGGGTGCGGGAAGGCGTCCAAGGACTCAAGGGGGCGACGGGGCCATTTTTTGCAGGGAGAGGTCCAGAGCTTTGACGATTTCAGAAGGGACCCGTGGCCCACAGAGTCTGAGGAACTTGGACTTAATTCCCAGGGCCCTAGAGCGCTGGGTGGCACACGGAGTTGGGGCACACTATTGTTTACGTAGTAGTCTGGCCTTCTGGAACGACAGTAAACTCGTAGTGATCCCAGACAAGCAGACCTCGTCTCATTCGTGCAATGACACAGCCCTCGGGTGTCCCTCTGCTGGCTCCCGAGCCTGCTGGGCAGGAATGGTAGGTGTTTTTGTAACAAGCAGCCCAGATATGGAAAGGGAGCCCCATGCACTGCCTGCACATCGGATGTCATGGGGGAGGTGGCTGGAGGCGGACAAGCAGCGGCCACCTCGGGTCAGCTGAGCAGAAGCCCTCACTAGAAATAGAAGCCAGGTGCAAACGGGCTGGCTCCAGTGCCGTGAACAAAGTGGTTCTTGTTGGGTGGACTCACCCAGATTCCGAAAGGCTGTCTTGGTTACACGTCCCGACCAAGGAGGCAAGGACGGGGTGCTGTGGTGGGCCGTAGGGCATGGGTTTGGTAGTGCGGGCCCCTCTACTTGAGCCACGCGCCGAGTCGGCTGGGAAGGAGAGTGGCAGAGCCCGCTCCCATGTCTGTAAGCCTTCCCTTCTGTTGGCACTGGCTTCTCTCTGCCCCCTTCCCACTTAGACGTCGCTGACAAGTGGGTTATGCTCATCTGTGACAGGCCACAGGACTCTTGAAGAAACAGCACAAAACAACTGCCAATTGAGAGGAAGCAAAGGCTGAGTTAGCTGGGTCCTGCTCTGCAAAGGGCTTGTCCGTGAGCCCTGTGTGAGCCCTTCGGTAAGCGCATCGTGCTCTTCACCTGGTACGTGAGTCTCGGTGTTAACTCCTGTCTCACCCTAATTTCAGGGAAGAGCAGGGGCCAACTTGTTAGGAAATGGAGATGAGCAGACCTGGCTGTCTCTGCTTGTCAGTCGTTCACCTCCCTCCAAAGTGATCACGTCTGGCTCCACAGCCGCCGTGAGCCGGGCAGCGTGCCAGGCGGCTGTGCACTCCGTGTAGTCTGGCCACCCTGAGCTGCGGCCACTCTGCAGCACACAGATGTGCAGTGCTGCTGTCTGGAAAACCTCCTTGGGTTGTGTTTTCCAGACTCTAATTTTGTCCTGAAGCACAAGAGAGCCGGCTCTGCCCTCAGCCCGGTGAAGCTTGGCGAGCAGGAGGGGGCTTGCAGAGCAAAGTGGGAAGCGCCTCTGAACTTGATCTGAAGGCAGAACCAATTCAGAATCAGGCTTTGCTTTCTCAACCTACCCAGCAGAATTCCAGGCTAAGAGAGATGGGAAGACAGACCTTTTAGGGCAGAAAAGAGAAACTGGAACAGCAGCAGCACCACCCTGGTGGCAGGTGTTCATCCTCAAACACTGGTTTCAATTCCAAGAGGGAAATGCCACGGCCGGGTCCTGGCCCAGCTCCCCTCTTCGGGATGCTCGCGTACAGCACAGGTGGGGCGCCTGCCCTCAGGAAGGTGCTGCCTCTGCGTTCAAGTCACACCAACTCCCGCAGGCTCCACAAGCCCAGCTTTACCCAGTGCTCTCTCCAGGGACGGCTCCTAACCCCAGGGGCCCCCGAGATGGCTCGAGGTGCAACGCGGCCGTTGAACACTGGATGGCTGGCCCGTTGAGTCCTCTTCCTAGCCTCCGAGGTCAAGAAGAGCATCTGTGTGGTGTGAGCACCTTTAATGCCTCTCTGAGATTGCCAGCCTCCTCAGGAGCAGACAGCCGGATCTAGCTAGACTTTAATGGTTCTGTTATTTTCTATTTATACAGAATATAAAGCTTCTCAAGTAAGTTTTAGAAAGTGAGTTGAGTTTTTTAAAATGTTAGGTAAATAAACCTCCAGTGGTCGTCGGATATGGCTCAAGTGTCGTATCTAGGTTGAGACCCTTCGTGTCTGCTCTGAGCTCTGTGTACCAGCCAACACATGGGCGTCAGGGCTCAGTGGGCTCCCAGCCACTGTCATATGTCATAAAACCAACAGCCTCAACAAGAGTGATGCCGTCTTTTGAGGACAGGGTACGCAGCTGCTCAACCTGCCTTCCTCAGAGGGCAGCGGATCGCGTCCGGCTCCAGCTGCGGGCCATCTTATTTAATGGAGAGGAATGGGCAGCACCTGGACGTGGCCCTTTTGAGGGTGCCAGTCAACAAGCGTCCAAGGAGAGGTGTTCGCTCGTTCCCACTTAGAGGGATAGTTCCCCATCACAGCCTCTTACTGAGGACCCATTACATGCTTGGCAATTTCATTCGGCCTCAGACTTGGGCCAGGCTTTGGCGCAGCTGCTGCTGCCGCCTTGGGTCCAGCTCTCCCCTGGCCCTCTCAGCTCTGATGTGAACACTAATGAGATCTTCTCTCCCACGTCAGGGGGAGGCAGACGGTTTATGTGGAAAAGGAAAAGCCACCTACACTGCCCGTGTCCACATTTCAACCACAGCTCCTGGAATGTCCAGGCCGTGCTGGGACCTGGGGAAGGTCACCAGATCTAATCACCCACTCCTTGTCCCCTACTCCCAGGTAACTCAAGAGCCTCGCACACCCTAACCACAGGCTGGCATGGGCCATTTGTATTTCAGGGGCAGCTGTTTAACATAAAAGCTGCATAGGGCCAGAGTCAGGACGTAAGTGTAAAATGCCCGGATCCTATGCGAGGGGATTTTTATTCCAATTCGGAGGAGCCTATACAATGGACCCACTATTTCCACCATCAGCTTCAGTCCTAGGAAAAGTTTCGTCCTAAACTTCAGGTATGAAGTTGATTTACTCAGTGAACCTCAACCATGCATTTTTTTTTTTTTTAAAGATTTTATTTATTCATTTTTTTCCCCCCAAAGCCCCAGCAGATAGTTGTATGTCATAGGTTCACATCCTTCTAGTTTCAACCATGCATTTTTAACAAATCAGACAGGTGGAGGCATGCGTCCTTTCTGGCTCTGCTCCAACAGTCACAGCTAACAAATGGACTGCTCCCCTGGGGCCCAGCCACTGCTTTAGCATCCCTCCCCACCTGACTGGGTTTCTGGGTCTTATTTTCTGGAGGACATAGGGGACCATGTGGGATTTCCCTCTCCCTTTTGGCTGCTGTCTCCTTAGTCAGTTCATCTTCTACTTGGAGTGCTGCCTGGTCCTACAGGGGCTTCGAGTGGAAGCCAACAGGGAAACTGGGGAATTCCTTTTAGGTACTAAAGCCGGCGTCACCTGGGATATGTCAAATGACCGATCACATATTAGCCCACTGTGGTGGTGGTGTGCTGAATGAGACATTGTAGGACCCTGGAAATGGATATGAGTAATGACCCTTTCACACTATGGCCTGCTCCCTTGGGTACTGAAGGTGGACCCTGCCTTCACGAGGTAAGTGGTCTTGGATAGTCAAATATGAGAACACCGGATCAAGTGATGTCAGGTGTCTTCTGATTTCAAGACTGAAACATGTTCTAGGAGCTGGCGGAGGCTGGAATTCCAAGGAAGTGTGGTTCTCCCAGTCCTTGAAGACTACAACTTACTGTTCCATTCCTTTATTTCATATTCTTAAGAGTTAAAATCCAGCTCCATATAAATTCCTTAAGGGTTACCACTCACCCCCAGGGAGAAGCCTGTTGCCTTTTTTGGTTCCCATCCTCTGCCAGCAGGGGCCTAGCCAGGGACCTGCAGAAGCATAGCTCCCTCTTTCCCACCCGAGAGACCAATGTCCAGGGAAGTCTCAGCAGACAGGGCCGTCCCTGTAGAGCAGCCACCAGCAGGCGCTGCTGCTCCCCCGGCTCCGCTGCGGCTCTAGGAGTTCTTCGATTTTCGCTCCTTTCTGGCCCGGGAGGCCATGAGGCTGAAGAAGAGCCCCGGAGCCAGAGTTCGCAGATAAACGGCCAAGGACGGCAACAGGTCGGCCAGGATCACATCTTTCTTCTTCTTCCCCACGGCAGCCAGAACATCTCGGGCCACCTCCACAGGGCTTCGGCCCTGGGCCGTGGTCTCATCCATAACTAAAACAAAACAAAAACACCACATGAACTTGTAAGCAGAAGTCCCCCTCTCAAGTGGAGCTGACGTGGACCGCGTGGGGTCGGCTTGCTAGCTCTGCCGCTTGGAAGCTCTTCCCACGGTCGGTCAGGAAGCAGGGGGCACACCCCATCCCTGACTCTTCTGTGCGCCAAGCAACCGAGGAGCCATTCTGCGGTCCCACGTGTGAGTGGGGGTTGGGGAGATGCGGGTGGGACGTGGGCACAAGGTCGCTGGGGCCCCAGGCAGTGCTCAGAACTGCTACTCTATGACGAAGGACGAAGGCCAGCCCAGATGGGGTCTCCAAGAGTGAGCCCCTCACACCACAGCTGAGGAGGAGCTTCCTGACCTGGGGAAGTTCTACCTACTAGAGCAACCGACGACTAAGCATGCTGCACCATCACATCTGTCTTGGGTGGCTGGGCCCGGGAGAAGACTCCCCCGGCCCGTGTGCACTATGAGCTCCCTGAAGTGAAGGTGAAGGGTCGGGAGCAGCCGTCCCGAGTCAGCTGGACGGGAGACAGGAAGCACGCCTTGGTCGTCTGAGGTGTCAGAGGCGGCCGCGCGGATGGAGGGGTGTCAGGCTGGTTCTCAGCGACTGCCGCTCCTCCTTCCCTAGTAATCTGACAACTGTGCTGACAAGGCGGGACCAGGCGGCAGGCACCGAGGAGAGGGAGAGGCCATAGCCATCTGAAACCACTCGCAAGTCATCCAGACTGCCTGGATCCTCACCACATCTGTGCTCATCGTGTTTTTGTTAACACAAATAGGTTTCTGATTGTTGCTTCTTTTTAAATGCCACAGAAGGAATTTTTAAAAAGATTCTTCTAGGTATAAATAGGTATGAACCTCTCTGGCTCTGTGTCCCTGTATGGTTTCTGTTGACTTGCCAAGTGAGAGAGCAGCTGCCACCTAGGGCACAGGCAGCCTGGTTCAGGTCTGGCTGGGGTGGGGTGTAGGACAGGAGGCCCCTGGTGAACGCCACAGCACAGGCCCAAGAGATGACATCCAGGGAGGCAGGACATGCCAGGACAGTACTCAAGGGGTGGGTAGGCCCCGTGCTTCAAGCAGCAGAGGCACATGTGGATCAATTGACCTGGGAGGCAGAAGCCAACTGGTCCTTGCTTGGCCTGAGCCTGTGTGCTGGGGCCAGGCTGTTTGGCCCACTAGTGGTGACTGCAGCTCAGCTCAGCATTGTGTTTGGCTGAGCAAAATGGAGATTCTGAGACTGGTGCACCAGCCTCACCCCAGGGGACAGTTCAGTCATTTCTCCAGCACACTGAGTGAGCTCTGGGGTCAAGCAACCCACACTTCCCATGAGGGTATTTCACTTTAACTTCCCTTTAATTTCCCGAGAAGTGGTCAGCTAGAAGTCTGGTGGCATATCAGCTTGGAGACTTCCTTTCCAGCCCTCAAAGTCCTGGGCTACAGGGGCCCTGTTCCAATAGCTGCAGTGGTGATGCTCAGGCTAAGGATGGTTCATGGTAAACGAAGATTATTCAACCGTATATATAACCAACACCCATACATCAAGTTTTTTAGTTGTAAAAATTATATTCCAAATGAAAATGACCAAAGAATTATCAGGTAAGAGCCATGTGTCTCACTGTGGCCAACAGCTTTCCAGAGAAGAAAGAGAAGTGGGGCCTCACCTCCGTATGTGGAGCCGTCAGCAGTGATGGCGTTGACAGAGAGGCTGGTGTGGATGTAGCCGGGGCTGATCACAGTCACCTCAACCTCGTACTGCTCCACCTCTGCACGCAGACAGTCAAAGAAGGCTTGGGTTGCGTGTTTGGAGGCCGCGTCTGCAAAGGTTGGTGGCCAGAGAGGCAGGTGAGTGAGCTGGTGTGGCGCCTGGCCTGGGACAAGCCTACACACTCACCCTCATTCATTCTCTCTCTTTTATTTAAAAAACTGATGTTATAATCTAAGATGACAGTATTATAACAATCTTCGTTTTCTGATTTAGAGAAGTGCATTGTCTCCTTGTTCTTAGGAAACACTCTCAAGTAATTAGGAGGGAAGGAGCATCATGCCTCCAACTTCCTTTCAAATGGTTCAGGAAAATATTATAAATTTCATATCCATATAAATGCGCATATATACACACATATACATACACACACCGAGAATATGACAAAGCAAATGCAGTAAAATCTTAACAACTGGGGAATCTGCATGAAGGGGACATGGGAGTTCTTTGTACCATTCCTACAACTCTTAAGTCTGAAATTATTCCATGTTAAAAGTTAAAAAGAAAACAAGAAACTTAATGCTTAATGGGTAAAAATTCAGATGGTACAGAAAGATATAAGTAAAACAGTGAAAGGCCTCCTTCTGCCTTCCAATTTCATTCTCCAGAGGTAAGCAAAGTTAACGGTCTCTCGGGATTTTTTTATATATCCTATGTACATACGTGTGATCTTACACATAAGTAATATTTTTTTACAGAAATGAGCTCATGTTCGTATTATTCCTGCAAGTGGAGTTCTTCACCTGGTGGCACAGCCTGGAAAGTCTCCGTGCCGCGCGGCCAGGCAGCCCTGCCATGCCCCTCCGTGGGTCACCAGACGACAGAAGTGGCCCATCAGTGGCATTCACGGCTGTCTCCAGGCTTTATCACTGCAACTGTGCTACAGTGAGCATCCCCGCGTGCACGGGAGTGTGTGTGTCAACTCTGTGCCTGCCTTTCCTGTGTGTTTCGTTTGACAAACTCCCGTGACGTGGCTTTTCGTGTGGAAGAGCCATCGAGCTTGCTCCACCAGCGAGAACGGAGCCACCTCTGCTCCTCAGCGACGGCTCCACCACACGGTGAACGGCGCTCTGAAGGGGACAGTGACCCTACAACGGCATTCTTGGGAAGCACGGCATTTCCACTGAAAATCAGTTTCCTCCAATTCAGAGTTCTAAATGTTTTAGCCTTAGGAAAAGGGCATCTATCCGCCAAAAAAACAGGAATGCAGAAAGCAAGGAAGTGCCGCAGCCGGTCACACGGGAAGTGGAACAGCACCTGGGCTCTCCGCGGCCTCCTGCAGCTAGCTCCTTTGGTTGGTGCCAAGTTGCCAGGCGCTGGATGAGCAGTTTGTGGGTAGGTGGGTGGAGAGAACTGCTCCTATCAGCCGTGATTCCAGGGGTGCAGCCCAGGCCCAAGGACTGAGAAGAGGGAGTCATCCTGGGGGTCCCCAGAACAGAGGGCTGCACCTGACAACTGGGCCCCAGAGCTCTCAGCCTGTAGGTCCTCAGCCGGGCGGTGCTGACCTAAACCCTCAGCACCACTGTCAACAGAACTCAGCCCCTCCTCTCGCGAGACACATGCTAACCACGGCCCCTGGATCACCTCACGACAACGTGTGAGAGACATGAAGCTGCTCTCCCATCTTACAGAGGAGACTGCTGCTCGTCGGGGCAACCCGCATGCCCAGGAGGCAACACCACATTCCGTCTGGTCATTACAAAGCGCCAGACCAACCACACGTGACCTACTGCAGTCAAAGCCCAAATAGAGAACAAAATTCAGTGAGATTAAGTCAAAGTCAAGTTTGGAAATAATTTAGTACAAAGAACACTGTATATCCTTTACCCCAATTTATCTACTATGAACATTTTACCTCATTTGCTTTGTCATTTGTGATTCTATAGATATTTATTCCTGAACCATTCGAGCAGCCTTAGATGGCTGTCCTGTGCTGCTGGAGTTGAAACAGAACACCACACACAGAGAATACAAATATGCATGCAGCACGTCACAATTTACAGAGGACTTTTCATCTCCAGTTGTCTCATTTCATCTTCAAAAGAGCTTTGTGAAGCATATATGACGACTGTAAGTCTCATTTTATAAGTAAGGAAAGGGAGGGCCAGACAAGTTAATAGCTTGCCCAAGGACACGCAGCTAGAGCCAAAAGGTAGAGCCGGGGTCCCATCTTGAGAGAAACAGTGTTTGTTACATTTCCAGCCCAGAGAGCTGGCTACACCATCACCCAGCTGGATGTGAGTTACTGTGCTTTCAGTGTCCTGCTTCTCCGACAAGTCTACACCACCAGGAGGTGGTGAGACAGACGAGGCTGTTCCAAGTCAGCATTCTCTTTCAGAGGTAGGGCAAAGAGAGTAGTTGCTAGGACGGTTTGTGAAATTACCTTTAAAATCTTTTAACAAAACTAGATCCTGTTTGCTTGCTGGTGCAACATGATGGCAGACAGACGAATGAAATGATATCTGAAAATGTTGGCGTAGCCACCTGCACACGTGGAGGTGAGATTGTGAATGGGAGTCATTTGACAGTTTTAATTTTTCGGTCCTACCTAATATTCCCACTTTTTGGAATTTACCTTACTGAAACCCTCTGGTGAGTGCCAGAGATATAAATATTTAAGGATGTTCTATGTAGCACATCATTGTTAATGATCAAAGACTGAAGGGAAAAAAATCAACTGTCCAGGAAAATGGCTAAATAAATTATGTCACTTCCATTCAATGAACTATTATATATATCCACTTAAAAGGATTAGGTAAATCCGTATACGCTGATGTAGAAGGACAGACTGTCAAGTGGAATAAGTAAGCCACAAAACAGTCTGCATGACATGATCTCGTTTTTGTACATTTGATCACATGTAGAAAAAAGTTTAGAGGCGTATGCCACAGTGATGAGTGACTGTCCGTGGGACGACACGTTCAAGGCAGCTCTGCCTGCACTGCCCCCACACCTCGCTCGCAGCTCGCAGCGCTCACAGGTGAACTCAATCTTCCAGTGGCCCTCCAAGGCTGGGAGGGCACTGTCTCGATTATGCAGATGAGAACTGGGGTACAGAGGTGGGTCACCTCTCTGCAGGTGGGACACTTGCAGAAGGTCACATACGGGGGTAGAGTGGAGCTGGGATGTGAATCCAGGCATTCTGCTCAGGAGAACACATTCTGATGAAGTTCCTTCACATTCTGTATTGAGTATTTCTCTAGTGTCTGAATTCTGGATTGTAAACGTGTTATTTTTATAATCAGGAAAAAACAGAGAGAAGAACATCTAGGAGTGAGAAGGAAGTACTCACATGCTGACCGAAAAGGAATGCTGATCTTGCCCTGGATGCTGCTGATGGCGACGACGTGGCCCTGTCGCCTCTTGATCATGGAGGGCAGGAGTGCTGAGGAAAGGAGGCAGAGGCTGGAGAAGAGCCCTTTCCTTTAGGGCACCACGCCCAATGCTGAGAGGCGGTGGCCTCACTGATGAGATGGAGTCAGAGCAAGGGAGGCGAATGGTGAAGCCCCTCAGGGGGAGGCCTCCTGCCCCAGCATGCCAATGGGCCGGGAAGAGGGGTGGGGAGGGAGGCAGACAGAAGCCTACCCACCACCCACGGTCAGCTCAGTTCCCTTCTCCTAGGGACAGCCTCTCCCCTGGAGTGAAATCCATGGCTGGACATAAAAGTATCCCCACTTGTAGGGGTTTGCAAACACCCTGAGAAGGAAATGGAGGCAATGCTGTAGAAATGAAGCTGTCGCTAAGGAGAACACCTTGACTGAGGCTATAAAGCAGATAAAATGCAAACAGAGCCTGGAAAAGGCAAACGCCCAAGTGTAATGACAACACCTGTCCCAGGAGAAAACAGGACGGGGACAGGCAACGAACGTTTGCTAGAAAGGAACCAGGTGAAGTAAAAAAATGCCAACGTATCAGTACTCTTTTTTCTTTTAATCCAAGACTGTTACCTTTCGTTAGAGCAACTGGGCCAAAGTAGTTTGTCTCCATGACTCTCTTGTCTACGTCCGCGGTGGTGTCCACGATGGCACCGCGGTAGCTGATCCCGGCGTTGTTGATGAGCACATCCACATAGCCAAAGCACTGCAGGATCTCGGCTGTTGCTGCAACTATGGCCCCAGGTTCTGCGAGGTCGAAGGTCACCGTGTAAGGCTTGTGTGTCTGCACCTGGTCAGATACAACAGAAACCAAATGCACCTTCAGAGTGACAGGCCACGTGAGCCACGTGTCTCTGCTCTTCAAAGTCTGGGGAGTGGTCCCCTGGTCGTGAAATGACAGGGGCTGCAGCACCTCTCTTCTGAAGAGACGTGGCCTGGAGGATTCCACCCCTGGGGCTCACACCTGGCCTGGGCAGCTTGTCTACTGAACTGAAAATGACTACTAGAGGCAGACGGTAATTCCACAGGGCAGCGATCACGCCTGGTATAGACTACTGTAGCAGGTCACCATAGGAGCCATTAATCACAGCGCCACTGCTGCCCTGTGCCAGCAGTACCGTACGTTGTCATTACGTTCAACAGTGCCCCTGCTGAGAGGTGCTATCCTTCTCAGGTTAAGTCATTTCAATTAATGTATCATGAAACATTTTTTATATATCCTCTATGTGCCAGACCCTGGGGATGTGGCAGAAAGCAAGACAGACATGGTTCCTGTCCTGAAGCATACAGTCTAGTGGGGAGCAGAGATGAATTCTATAATTGTAAAGAATGCCATGAAGAAGTATAAGAGGCTAGAGAAATGAATAACTGAGCATCCAACTTAGAGGGCTTCCCAATGGAAGTGAGTTTAACAAGAGATCAAAAAGATAAAGGGGTTGTGAAATCAGAGATGTGGGCAGAGGAGGAAGTGCCAGGAATCCATCTCTCCACCTGGACAATTGTCCTGGCAGAAACCCTGTGACGTGACTATTTTGGAACTCTGGAGTCTATGTGAATGCTTGCAGCTTTCAGGGGATTGCTTGGCTGGCAAATTATAGATAATTTTGGTCTATTTCAGCCGTTGGCTCAGAGGTGACTCTCCATCCCCATGCATCCAGCCCTGTGGCAGGCAGCTGTAGGAAAGGCAACCCACATTTCTGGTACAGCTTGAGGGAGCCCAGGCAGGCAATAAGACCTTGTCTTCCAAACATCAGGGATTGTTCTGATGGTGGACTGCAGCTCTAATCACTGGGGTGCAGCATGGAGGCAGGTTGTCACTGTTTTCACCACCACTGGCTGAAGTGGCTTCCGGTAGATTTAAAGGAGTTGCATCTGTTGCTCTAGTTTTCAATAAATACACCCCCAGAAAATATACTTGAGGAAGCCCAGATGATAGACTTACTACACAAAGACTTTAAAACAACTGTCTTAAAGATGCTCAAAGTGCTAAAGGAAGACATGGACAAAGGCAGGAAACTGATGTATAAACAAAATGAGACTATCAATAAAAAAAATGAAATTATAAAAAAAAATTTGGAGCTCAAAAGTACAATAACTGAACTGAAAAATACACTAGCAGGGTTCAAAAGCAGATTTTAGCAAGTAGAAGAGAGAATCAGTGAACTTGAAGAGAAGACAACTGAAATGATCAAATCTGAAGATAAAAAGAAGAAATTTTAGAAAACTGAACAGAGCCTAAGGGATCTGTGGGACACCCTCAAGTGAACTGATATACACACTGTGGGAATCTGAGAAGGAGAAGAGAGAGAGAAAGGGCTAGAAAGAATGTTTGAAGAAATAACTGACAAAATCCGAAATTTAATGAAAAACATGAATCTACACATCCAATAAGCTCAATACCAAGTAGGATAAACTCAGAGACACACAATAAGACACATTACAATCAAACTGTCAAATGACAGAGAATCCTGAAAACAGCAACAGAGAAGCTACTCCTCACATAAAAGAGATCCTCAATGAGACTATCAGCCGATTTCTCATCAGAAACCTTGGAGGTCAGAAAACAGTGGGCTGATACATCAAAGTGCTGAAAGAAAAACTGTGCACCAAGAATTCTGTATCTGGCACAACTATGCTTCAAAAATGAGGGAGAATTTAAGATTCCCAGATCAACAAAAGCTGAGGGGGTTTGTTACCACCAGACCTGCCCTGCAAGAAATGCTAAAGGGAGTCCTTCAGGTTTGAAATGAAAGGAAGCTAGACAGTGTAATTTAAAGCCATATGAAGAACTAACGATCTCCAGTCAAGTAAATACAAGGGCAATTATAAAAGCTAGTATTATTGTAATTTTGGTTTGTAGCTCTACTTTTTATTTTCTACATAATTTAAAAGACAAATGCATTTAAAAACTATTAATGGGGCCAGCCCCAGTGGCACGGTGGTTAAGTTCGCGTGCTCCACTTCGGCAGCCCGGGGTTCGCAGGTTCGGATCCCAGGTGCAGACCTAGGCACGGCTCATCAACCCATGCTGTGGCAGACGTCCCACATAAAATAGAGGAAGATGGGCACAGGTGTTAGTTCAGTGCCAGCTTCCACAGCAAAAAGTGGAGGACTGGCAATAGATGTTAGCTCAGGGCTAATCTTCCTCACACACACACACACACACACAAAACCTATTATTAATCTATGTTACTGGGCAAGCAATGTATAAAGATGTAACCTATGATGTGAACAGGAGAAAGGGGAGAGGACAGAGCTATATAGGAGTAAAGTTTTTGTATTGAATTCAAACTGCTATTGAAGTTAAGTTGGTATAAATTCAAATTAGATTGTTATAACTTTAGGATATTCAATGTAATCCCCATAGCAACCACAAAGAAAACAGCTGTAGAATATACACGTAAGGAAATGAGAAGCGAATCAAAGCATTTCAGTACAAAAAAATCAACTAAACACAAAAGAAGACAGTAATGCAGGAAATGAGGGACAAAAAAGCTATAAAACATAGAGAAAACAAATAGCAAAATGGCAAAAGTAAGTCCCTCCTTAATAGTAATTGCTTGAAATGTAAGTACTTTAAACTCTCTAATCAAAACACAGACTGGCAGAATGGATCTAAAAAAAAGGAAAAAGATCCAACTATATGCTGCCTTTAAGAGACTCACTTTAGATGTAAGGACACAAATACATTGAAAGTAAAGGATGAAAAAAGATATTCCATGGAAATAACCAAAAGAGAGTGAGGGTGGCTATACTAATATCAGAAAAAATAGTCTTTAAATCAAAAAAGGTTACAAGAGACAAAGAAGGACATTATATAATAATAAAAGGTACATTACAGCAAGAAGATATAACAATTATAAACACTTATGTACCTAATAACAGACCCTCAAAATATATAAAGCAAAAATCAACAGAATTGAAGGGAGAAATAGTTCTACAATAATATTTGGATATTTCAATACTCCACTTTTAATAATGGACAGAACAACCAGACAGAAGAGCAATAAGGAAATACATGATTTGAACAACAATATGAACCAACTGGTCCTAAGAGATGTATATAGAACATTCCACCCAACAACAGCACCATACATATTCTTCTCAAGCACACATGGGACATTCTCTATGTAGGCCACAAAACAAGTCTTAATAGATTTAAAAAGAAAGATATCATATCAAGTATCTTCTCCAACCGCAATGTGATGAAGCCAGAAATCAGTAACAGAAGGTAAACTGGAAAATAAATGGAAATTAAACAAAACACTCTTGAACAACCACTAACTCAAAAAAGAAATCACAAGGGAAATGAGAAGATACACAGACACAAATGAAAATGAAAACACAACATACCAAAACTTAACGGAGTGCAGTGAAAGCAGTGCTGAGAGGGCAATTTATAACTGTCAATGCCTATATTAAAAAAGAAGAAAGACCTCAAATCAATAATGTAACTTCACACCTTAGGGAACTAGAAAAGAGCAAACTAAACCCAAAGCTAGCAGTGTAAGGAAATAATAGATTAGAGAGAACAGAAACAAAATAGAGAATAGAAAAACAATAAAGAAAATCAATGAAACCAAAAGTTGGTTCTTCGAAAAGATCAACAAAATTGAGAAACCATTAGCTAGATTGACCAAAAAAAAGAGAAAAGATGCAAATAACTAAAATTAGAAATGAAAGTGGGACCTCACATAGATAAAAAAGATTATACTATGAATAAGATTATACTATGAATAACTGTATGCCAACAAATTAAATAACCTAGAAGAAATGAACAAATTCTTTGAAACACACAAATTACCTAAACTGACTCAAGAAGCAATAGAAAATTTCAGCAGACATATAACAGGTCAAAAGATTGAATCAGTAACCTAAAACCTCCTGACAAAGAAAATGTCTTAGACCAGATGGCTTCACTGGTGAATTTTACCAAACTTTAAAAAAGAATTAACACCAATACTTCTTATACTCTTCCAAACAGTTGAAGAGAGAACACTTCCTAATTCATTCTGTGAGGCCAGCATTACTCTGATATCAAGGCCAGATAAAGACATCACAAGAAAATTACCGACCAATATCCTTTATGAGTACAGATGCTAAAATCCTCAACAAAATACTAGCAAATCAAATTCAACATTATATTAAAAGGTTTATTTACCATGACCAAGTGGGATTTATCCTGAGAATGCAAGGGTGGTTCAACATAAGAAAATCAATCGATATAATACATCATATTGATAGAACAAAGGAAAAAAAGCACACGATCATCTCGATGCAGAAAAGAGATCTGACAAAATTCAACACCCTTTCATGATAAAAACTCAGAAAACTAAGAATGGAGGGGAAATTCCTCAACATGGTTAAGGGTGTTTATGAAAAACCTGCAGCTCCCATCATGTTCAATGGTGTCGGACTCCAAGTGCTCCCCCTATGATCAACAACAAGGCAAGGATGCCTGCTTTCACTACGCTATTCAACACAGCACTGGAAACTCGGATCAGAGCATTAGACAAGAAAAAGAAATAAAAGGCACCCAAATTGGAAAGGAAGAAATAAAACTACCTCTATTCACAGATAACATGATTCCATACATAAAAATCCCAAGGAGTCCACAGACAGCTATTAGAGCTCGTCAATCAATTCAGCAGAGCTGCAGGGTACAAGATCAACATGCAAAACTCAGCTGTGTTTCTATACACCAGCAATGAATAATCTGAAAATAAAATTAGGAAAGCAAATCCACTTACAATGACAGCTAAAAAAATTAAATATTTAGGAATAAATCTAACTAAAGAGGTGAAAGATTTGTACACTGAAGACTATAAAACACTGCTAAAATTAAAGAAAGCCTAAATACATGGAAAGACATCTGATGTTCATGGATTGGAAGACTTAACATTGTTAAGATGTCTATACTATCCAAAGTGATCTACGGATTCAGTGCAATCCCTATCAAAATCCCAATGGCATTTTTGGCAGAAATAGAAAAAAAAAAAATCCTAAAACTCATATGGGATTTCAATGGCTATTCAGGAATAGCCAAAACAATCTTGAAGACTAAGAACAAAGTTGGAGGACTCACACTTCTCAACTTGGAAACTTACTACAAAGCTACATTAATTAAAACAATATGGTATGTCATAAGGACAGTATGGTATGACACAGTGACATAAGGACATACAGACCAGTGGAATAGAACAGAGAACCCAGAAATAAACCCTCAAATATATGATAAATTCATTTATGACAAGGGTTCCAAGACCACCCGAGGGGAAAGGACAGTGTTTTCAACAGCTGGTACTGGGGAAACTGGACATCCACATGCGAAAGAATGGAGCTGGACCCTCACCTGACACCAGATACAAAAATTAACTGAAGTGCAGCAAAGAGCTAAACATAAGACTTAAAACTGTAGAACGCTTAGAATAAAAAATTGGGGAAAATCTTTATAACACTGGATTTGGCAACTACCTCATGGATATGACACCAAAAGCACAGGCAATAAAAGAAAAAATAGACAAGTTGGGCTTCATCAAAATTAAAAACTTCTGTACATCAAACGGTACCATCAAGAAAGTGAAAGGACAATCTACCGAATGAGAGAAAATATTTACAAATCATTTATCTGATAAGGGAGTAATATTGAGAATATATTGAGAACTCCTGAACTCAGCAACAAGAGCAAAAACAAACAACCTGACTAAAAAATGGGCAGCGGACTTGAATAGACATTGCTCAAAGAAGATATACAAATGGTCAATAAGCACATGAAAAGATGCTCCACATCACTTGTAATTCGGGAAATGCAAATCAAAACCACAACGAGCTACCACATCATACTTCCTATGATGGGTATAACTGGAAAAAAAAGAAACAGAAAAATAACACGTGTTGGTGCGGATGTGGAGAAGCTGGAGCCCTTGTGTGCGGCTCGTGGGAATGTAAGTGGCATAGCTGCTGAGGAAAAGTCTGGCAGTTTCTCAAAAGGTTGAACATAAAACTACCCTGTGACCCAGCAATTCCACTCCTAGGTATATATCCAAAAAAACTGAAAGCAGAGACTCAAACAGATATTTGTACACTAATGTCTGGAGCAGCATGATTCACAATAGCAAAAACATGGAAACAACCCTCGTGTCCATCAGCAAATGAATGGATAAACAAAATGTGGTATATCCATATAATGAGATATCATTCTGCCATAAAAAGGAATGAAATTTTGATACATGCTACAATATGGATCGACCTTGATTACGCTTAGTGAAGCAGCCAGACACAGAAGGACAAAGATTGTATTTTTTCACTTACATGAGATATCTAGAACAGGCAAATTCATAGAGAGAGAAAGTAGAATAAAGGTTTCCAGGGGCTGGGGAGAGGGAGGAAGAATGAATTATTATTTAATGGGTACAGAATTTTTCTTGGGGATGATGAAAAGGTTTTGGATATAGATAATGGTGATAATTACACACATTGTGAGTGTATTTAATGCCACTGAGTTGTACACTTATAAATGGTTAAAATGATAAATATTATGTGTATTTTTCCACAATTAAAATTTTAAAAGTCATCTCCAACCTGCCCTCCCAAAAGAGATGAGCAGGTATTATCCAGGTAAAGGGGGAGGGGGAGCATTCACAGAAGGAACTTCTTAAACTCACAGTGCTAGTAAGTGGTGGAGTGGGGATTTGAACCGTACGACAGTTCCTCCTCCTCAGGCCATGGAGCCTGGTTTGCAGTGGAGACCTGCTGCCTTCCCTGGTCAAGTGTGACTGTGTGGACACCCTGCACGTCCAGCAGCCCAGGAGTGGGTGGCTGTCTCCTCAGATGCCTGCAGAGGATGGACTGCACCCCTTCCCCACAGAAAACACACCCCTGGGCTCACCTTGGTGGCCTGAGAAGCAGCCAGTTCTTTGGTGAGCTCTTCCAGGGCCTCCCTGTTCCGGCCACAGAGCACCAGCTTAGCGCCCGCAGCGTAGAAGACTTTGGCGCATTCTAAGGGGAGAGGAAAGAACCTTGACAGCCGAGGAAATTCAATGCCTTTCTTCCCCAGTGCAGTTCAGTTCAAGTTTACCCAATGTTTCCGAATGTGTACTTGTTCCTTCACGCACTCAGCACATATGTAGTAGAGCCTGCCGTGGACCAGGCATGGAGCTAGGAGTTCGGGGCCAATGATAAACCAGCTCTGTTGCTGCCCTTAGTAAAGAGCTCACGTTCAGTGGTGTGACAGACGTCACAGGCAAGAGGAAGCCAGGGACCAGCAGTCCGCTTTATTAGGTACTATGCTCAGAACTGTCCCTAATGATCTTTAGCTCTGAACAACCCTGGGAGCATTATCCCCATTATCACAACTGAGGAAGCTCACGGAGGTCAAGCAATGTGCCCAGTGACCAGGCAGGGCCAGCTACTGTGCTGCTGTGGTCTGCCGCGGCCTGCGTTCCAGCACAACCAGGCTGCTTCCCAAGTCACGAGAACACAACAGGCACGTATCTACTGGGGGTACTGACGTGGTTCTGCAGTAACACAGTGGGCACAGGGCCCTGTTGAGAAGGGGTGAAGAGGCCTGAGGGCTGTTTGCCCAGAGAGAGCTCGAGACAGAGGGAGCACAGTACGCAAAGCAGCTGAGGGGCTGTGCGCAGATGCAGCTGGGGCGGAAAGTGCAGAGTAACAGCCTGGCTGGGCTGGGACAGGACACAGCTGCACTTTCAAGACTTGAAGCACGCTGAGTGCCTGCAACAGCTAAGGACTGTTAAGGGTGGCTGCATTTCAAAAGAGTCCTCCTGCTGGGTGGGAAGGAAGGGGACCAGAGATCAGGCTCTGCTGAGCCCAGTACCGCATTCCAGGTGACCACTGATGAGGATGTCGACTAAGACCACAGCAGGGTGGACTCCAAAACTAATCGGGCACCTCTGTTCTTCTGGTAGTGAGAAGAGAGACTCAACTCACCCTGGGCTAAGCAAAAAGAGGATTTATCAGCAGGATTCTGGGATAGCTTAGGAATTAAGAGCACAAGCGGGATGGCCAGGACTTGGGAGGGACAGGAGTGGTGGCTGCCCAGGGCCCCTGGCAGCAGGAACCAGCCTCTCTCAGTGCTGGCGGGTCCCTTCTCCACTTCATCCCCTCGCCTGACTTCTCCACAAGATGGAAACAGGGCCAGGGGCAGCCTTGGGCTCACATCAACACAACTCCTCTGCCAGACAGGAGAGGGGCCTCTCACTTGTCTCCTGCAAGCTCTGGTGTCAAAATCCCAGGGAGGGACTATGACCAGCCGTGGTGGGGGCGGCATCACTAGGACCACCCCAGCAAGGGTCCCACATAAATTCCCTGAGGCCATGCGGAGGGGCAGGGAGGGAGACCACCAGAACCGGGGAGCTAACTGGTAGGGGAAGAGGGAGGAAGCAGAGGGTGAGGTCCTCTTGCTTCTTGCTTGCCCTGCCTGCAAACATGTCCTAACTAAATGTTCAGTGCCCTGAAAACTTACAGCTTATGAAGGGCAGGACAGCCCAGTGGTCAAGGAAATAGACTTGAGCTAGACTTCCAACACTTACTGGTTCTGTGATCTGGAGTAAGTTACAACCTCTGTCTCTCACTTTCCTCTTCTGTAAAATGCAGATAAAAATGGCACTGGGATTGAATGAGTACAGTAGATACAAAGCACTACAGAAAAGAGCACTACAGAAGTGTTGTTTTTGTATTTCTAAGCTGCCTTTTTCAAATGTTCTAAAACCTGACCGTGGGTGAGAATTGAAATGCGAGAGGTTCAAGCACTGCCCGCCCTCAGCCGAGGTCTAGTCTCCCTCGAGGGCCCACAAGCAGGTCTGCGCAGACCCGGCGGTCCCTTGCTAACCTTGGGTCCCAGACCAGATCTCAGAGGCCCAGACAGTCAAGTGGTGTCTTAGTCCCCACTTGGCTCACAGAGGGACAGGCCTGCCCTGGGAGCCACGCAGCGAGGGGTCGAGGGATCAAGGCTGTCACTTCCTCACCAGGAGGGGAGGAGGCTGTAGGGTCCAGGCAGGGTGTACTGGTCTGACAGCCCTTCCCCCACAAAAGTGTCAAAATTGCTTAAAGCTGGAAGGGTTCAAAACAGGAGGGGAGAAGAAATCCCAGCGTCCTTCAGGAAAAGAGAGAGAACGTTCTTCGATGTCTGGATTGTCTCAGGGTGCAAAGCCCTCTCCTTTCACTCTGCAGCTCCTCCTTCAGCTTCTTTTCCTGCCATCCCCAGGCCAGCACCTCCCTGCACGTCCCCAGGTGGAGCTTTCTGGACAGAGGTGCTAAGTAGACTAAATCCATACATTTTCAGGTGTGCTGTATCCCCTTCTTTGGAGATCTGGTTGGTTTGTTCACTGCCTCATTCCAGCAAAGGACGCAAACCCAGACAGAACTGCAGCCCTTCCTCTGCCTGTCCCTGGATGGTCTGGTCAGGGGCACAGCCTCCACCCCGCGTGCCCTGCTGTCCTTCTCAGCAGAGCAGCAAAGTCCTCACGGGGGGCCAGGGCAGGGGCAGGGGCTGCACTCAAACCCAGACGCCCGCATGCCCGAGGCTGGACCTGCTCACTCGGTTTACTAAATTGTGCCCAGAGACTAGGAATCTCCAGCCCTGCTGGCCTCCTCATCCCATTTCATCCTGTGCTGACCAACACAATGGACGTTTTGTGAGGTACCACCAAAGGGTGCAGACACGCAGAACCACAGGTGGGAGGAGGCTGGTGTCTAAACAGCTTCTGGAAAATGGTCACCTACACTCTGCTTCAACTTTGCTTCCTAGCAGAGCCAAAAAGGGAGGAAATTAAAAGTCTGTGTAGGAAGTGACAGAATGAAAACAACAGATTGGAAGGATTCCATTTTCCTTTCTTGAAAAAGCTGATACAGGGAGGCAGATGGGTCAAGGGAAAAAGGAAGACAGTCCCAACTACCATTTATCCAGGGCTGCCAGACGGTTCTCCCCTGCTGCCGGACCACTGGCTTGTTCATCAAGATCATGTTCACGGCCTCAGGGCTTAGGCTGGCTAAAGTGGGCATCCAGAACATTCTGCTCCTTTAATCTTTTTTTTTTTTTTTTTAAAGATTTTATTTATTATTTTTCCCCCCAAAGCCCCAGTCGATAGTTGTGTGTCATAGCTGCACATCCTTCTAGTTGCTGGATGTGGGACGCGGCCTCAGCATGGCCGGAGAAGCAGCGCGTCGGTGCGCGCCCGGGATCCGAACCCGGGTCGCCAGCAGCGGAGCGCGCTCACTTAACCACCAAGCCAGGGGGCCGGCCCTGCTCCTTTAATCTTGGTCCTACTGTTTTACAAGGATAAGCTCATGTAGCTTAAAGATACGAAATAAGAGACAAAACAGGAAAACTGCAGAAAGCTGTCTGCAGACTCGTCATGACACCTAAAGCTTCAAAGCGGCTGACGCGGCGGGCAGAGCCCCGGGGGCAGCAGGGTCTCCTCCTCAGAGGCTAAGGAGCAGCACGCCCTTGGTGGTCACCAGCAGAGGGTGTTTGTACCCGAGATGCTGGTTAAGAATCTGTTCCTATTTTATCTGCCTGGAGGGGAAAGAAATATATGGAGTCCTGTTTCCCTAGGACGTTAAACGGGACAGAATATAAGCAGAGTGATTTGGAATTCAGAAAATGGCTCACATAATATACTATATATATACACACAGGTTTTATTTTTTTTCAATTACATTTTCTATTCCCTTCACAATCTCGGTGTCCGGAAGAGCAAATGTGGAATGATGAAGAGGACAGTGTCCTTCTCAAACATCCATGTTTCAGAGCACCTGCAACTCACCTTCCCTCTCAGCCGACTCTCACATACTCTTCAAGGACTTTAGACAAGTGCTTCTCTCTGAGACGAAGAGAAGCAGCTGCTGACTATCCTATAAATAGTAGCTGAGTGAGGTCAGAGAACCAACTGTGGCAAAGGGCCTGGAGGCAGCTGTCTCCATGCAGGTCTGGATACCTAATGCCAGACCCAGGGTGCACCCCAGAGACCTCACCTAAACGTCACAGCGGTGTACAAATGAATCCACGCCACCCAGAGCCTGCCCAGGCTCCCCCTGGCCAACTGCAGACAAGGCCTCGCCCGCTCCTCGGTGCTCCCGTAACACCCAAGGGATTCCCCCTGCACAGCCCTGCCACTCTCAGCTCTGGGCCTGCCTGCAACGCCCACCCTGCTGGCCCACGCCTTCCTTTTCCCTGGCCATCTCCCCCTCAGGTGAGACAAGACTGTAGGTTCTGGAGTCAGGGAGACGGGTTTGAATCTTGGCTTCACACTTTCTGGCTAGAGGTCCTAAGACAAGTCATACTTTCTCTGAATCTTAGCTGTGAGGATTCAGTGAGACAAGCACAAGCCAGACAGAGAAATGTGCCTCTCCTAGCAGGCCTGCTGGGAACACCCAGGACTGAACTGGCAACACACTGAGCTAAGTCCCCGCCTCCCTCCCTCAGACCGTGAACTCCCTGAGGGAAGGGACCCTGTTTTTCACGTTTGTCCCAGCACTCGGCCCGGAGCCTTGCACGTCGGAGATGCTCCATCAGTGCTGGCTACGCTATCACCCACCGAAAGGTGCAGCATGGTGGGTTTACCACAGCTCGGGGCGCCCTCAGCCCTCTGCGTGGAGCTGAGTGCGGATAATGGCCTGGGGTAGTGCGGGCCGCGTGCGGGTGCTGAGAAAGCGCGGGTGGCTGCTCGCGACATGCCTGCGCCTGCCCTGTGCCCTCCGCCAGAGTCAACACCGACGTGTGGAAGGGAAGGAGGACAGCTCTGCACTCACTTATGAGGGGTGGAGGGGACTGACGCCAGGCCTGTGTCCCAGCACACAACTCCTGGGACCTAGAAGCTCAGAGTATTCACCAAATTAGAACAGAAATAACTTGGAGAACCTGGTTAAGGAACAGCTGAGGCCTCACTCACTCTGTCTCCAACCCTGCCAAGGCTGCGCCCAGGGCACAGCTAGAGGCACGGCCCAGAGAGGGGAAGGTGTGGAGCAGGTGACAGCAAGGCCGTAAACAGGGGAGGATGGCTGAATCCAGGAAAAGGCATGCTTTGTTTGGCCCTCACAGAGGTAAAAACATTTTTTAAATTAGTTGTCCATATGTGAAAATCGGGAGCCTTCACATAAAGACCCCTCTTTCCACAAGCAGCCGGAGCTGAGCACAGAGCCAGCGTGGGGGACACGCAGTATCCCGTTTTCCAGTCCTCCTCACCAGCTTCTGCCCCCAACACTGACGCTACAGGTCAGGGGCCATCTCTTACTGCACTAAAGCTCTTCTTCTCTAACTGGACCAGGGACAGTGACACACTCTTGTTCCCAAGGTCCCCAGCCTGCTTCACTGATTCGCACCTGCTCTGGTGGTCCCTGGGCAACTTCCCTACCCATCGGACAGCACTGCCTCCAGGACCCACCTCGCCCCAGTCCTGAGGTGGCGCCTGTAATGACCACCACAGCGTTCCGCAGGTAGGCCTTCACGCGCATCTGCTGCAGCAGCTTGAAGAGGCTGAAGATCCCCACACAGCCCAACAACAGGGGCAGGATGGCCGTAGAGGTGATCCAGTCCATGACCCTCACCTTCAGCAGACTCTTCCTGGAAGAACCAAATGAATTAGAGACAAAATGGGAACTCAAGAGACTTGCCCACCCTCTCGGCCCTAGTCTGATACAGACCCCAGATCTCTCTTGTGCGGACTTCAGCTCTGAGCCCAGCAATGTTCTTTCCAGGTGCTGCACGTTATGCTGAATGTTCAGCATCGTGGAACTTGTTTTCTCTCACTCTGCACTGATACAAGCAGACAGCAAAGCCACAGACCTCACAAATGCCTCTCAGAGGCGCAATGACCCCAGAACAAGCGGAGATGGTCATTCAGCTCAGGACTCAGGAACCCGGTGAGTGTTACCAAGGCACTGGCATATCAGTACTCACCAGATTCTCCTTCAGACACTGGTTTTGGGGAACTTAAGTAACACCCATTATCATTTTCAATCCCAGAGTATTTGTGCAACTAGAAACCTTTTTTAAAGAGAAAACCATACCAATCCTTATATTCCTCCATGGGTAGATGGATGTTTCTGGGTGGGGCAACGCCTGGATGGTATCCAGGTATCCAGAGTACGCCTATAAGCATACTCCTGTCCATAGGCCTCACGGACACCCAAAGGGAAGCTGGCAGACAGAGCTGCCCTTTGCCGCACACAGGCCCAGACTCTGGCTGTAGGCAGGTTGCCCTGCATGTGAGGAGTGTGTGGTCACCTCACATTCACGGTGAGCCACACCAGAAGATGAACCGGGAGGCCACATGAGGGTTTGTGCAACAGTGTGCAGTCAGTTCTGAGGAAACATATCCGCTTCCTCCCCCACTGCCCCTAATTTCCTTACCCCTCCAAGCCTCCCCCATTCTGCATCACTCCCCCATGCCTGTGCCCAGAGCAACAGCTAAGAGGGGACACAGGGTGAAAGGAGGGTCGAGGGCACCAGTGAGGAGCAACACCATGTGTGTCCCTTTGAACAAAATGCCCTACAGGCCACGTGACAAGTGGACCAGAGTCTATTACACAAATATCCACCAACAGTGCACTCCCAGGACTATGACATTAGGAGCACAGTAACCCTCTTCAGGAAGGAAGAGGCTGGAAGCCAAGGGCAGAGTTCCTGCAAAGCAGCCTGAACTTTCAATTATTATCAGATTGAAAGTAAACACCTACTAAATATTGCATCTCTTCAACTGCACATACTGAAAAAAATACTTATTTCCTTTCCCAAGACAACATCAACTCGGGGCTGGCCCCGTGGCATAGTGGTTAAGTGCGCACGCTCCGCTGCTGGCAGCCCAGGTTCGGATCCTGGGCACGGGCCGACGCACCGCTTGCCAGGCCATGCTGAGGCGGCGTCCCACATAAAGTAGAGGAAGATGGGCATGGATGTTAGCTCAGGACTGGTCTTCCTCAGCAAAAAGAGGAGGACTGGCAGATGTTAGCTCAGGGCTGATCTGCCTCA